CAGAACTTAGTTTATTTCTTTTTTTTTATTTTACATTCATTTAACAGTACACAACAGATAACGAGATCAGAAAATTTCTGACATTGGACATTTTAACATAGCAGTACGCACCCCAACATAACTTTTTACTAAACCTATTATTAAATAAAGTTTTAAGAGCTAAATTAAGTATTATGTAAAATAATACTTTGATTATGTCTCTATAAAGACAAGTCTATCTTGTATGTTACAGCTGCAGTAAGAGATCATACAGAATTTTACTTTCATATTGTCAGCATCACATTTTAATTTAGTTTTGTTAGGGCAATTTAGCCAATTAATAAGAAACTAAAGCTTATTTTTATATCCCAATAAAGTCCCAAACACATTGCCAAATGCTTTTCTTTATTTGATGCATATGCACAACTGTAGTTTAATAAGCATTTATACAATCTAATGAGCCTCAACAAAACTTGTAAAAGAAAAAAAAAAACACATGCACACATCAAATTAAAATACAAATGTCTCTGCTGGGATGTTCTCAGGATGTCAATAAAAGTTTAACTCCTTTTGTTACGTCTTTACAAAAGGACCTTGTGGGAATAAACCCGTACTTATTAATAACATGTATTTTTTTGATAAAACTTATGTTTTATGTCCACTTTTGAGAAAATATGAAAGTATTTTTGCCAAGAAAAGTTTTGATCAGAATCTTACAAAATATATCACTTCAAAATGGAAATCTGACTCACTTTTTTCTTCTTTCAATTTATTTTAGTTGTCATGAATGAGCTTGACAGCTAAATAACTGACAGCTGAATAGTTAATCACATTTTTCTTAATAACAAATAATATACACAAGATATCTCACAGCAAATAATTAGCACAGTTCCATATTAAATTTTCTGGAATTTGGCAATCATATATATATATATATATATAAACCTAAAGTGGAAATCATGGTGACTGTTTATCTTTAATATACAATGTGAAAAGTACATCAGTCATTTGAGGAACTTTCAGCATTTTTGAGTTTACTTTTCTAGAAAATACAACAAGGAATAAAGTTAAAAAACACTATTGTTTCTCTGAAACCGTCCATCGTTAAACAGGGGTGGAGGTCTACGTGTTCAATTGTACCCCTCTTACAATGCTGTGATTGCTAGTATCACTCAGCCCTCTGTGAATAGTAAACAGCCATCAGTGTGCTAATGATCCATTGTTAGGCTGATGGTCCTTCTTGAGCATGTGATCAGTTGGTTTTGGTTGTCAGCAGCAAAACTGGTTGATTCACCCTGAGAAGGTGCTATTTAAGAGACTGAGCTGAAAACAGCACCTCAGACTGAGGAAGTCTCTCGGATGAGAGACGAAACGTTTCTACATTTTTTTTTGTTGTTTTGCTTTGTTTTGTTTTTTTGAATGTCCAGAGGACCAGATTTAACTTTTTTAGATTTTTCTACCTGGATTATTGAGCATGCATCAGGACTATTGTTTCTCCATAATCTAACTTATTTTTCCCGGACCTGGAAATACTAACATCATGGGGTAGAGGTAGGGCAGACGACTCGGGACCCTAAAGTCCCAGGTTCGATCCCCTGCCATTCCCACATGTTGCGGTGTCTCTGAGCAAGACACCCAATCCCCAATTGCTTCCTGGGCGCTTACATAGCTGCCCACTGCTCCATCTGAGTGTATCCCCCCCAGGTGTGATTGGTTAATTGTAGAGACAAGTTCGCCATTGTATGGGAACATACAATGATGACAATGCATTTCACTTTATTTTACTTTAAATTTCATACAAGGCTGCACAGACACCTTGTTAGCCTCTTCGACAAAAAGAATATGTTAAGAGAAATAACATACTAAATACCTTGTCATCTTTGGGAAGTCAAGATCCGTTTCAGCTACAGTATCTGATGTTCAATGTACATGCTGGTGGGCGAGAAGCAGACTGCCAGTAAAACCTGACTCCTCCAAACTCCTATAATTTCCTAAACTTTCAGAACAACTCCAATGGATTTGTTTGCTCAGATCACATCAGAATGGTGCTTTTAGATGAAGAGCCTGCAAAAAAAAGGTGGAGGAGGTAGATTATGTAATCTGACAGAGAGAGGAGGGAGCAAATGACTGATGCAATAAATCTTTTTATAAACCGATCTCGTCCAGCAACACTTGAAAAATGATCACATCTGATGCCCTGCTCCCTCCAAACAAAAACAAAACTTCAACTTCTGTGCAAACTGTGGCTTCTTTAAAGGAGGGTGTGTTTGGGTAGGCCTGTAGTTTACTGGCTGATTCACTCCGATTTAAGCAATCGCCTTTCCAACAACAAACTCAGAAAATATCAAGCAATATAAAGGAGACTTAAACTAAACCCCGTAGTATTTAAACAAGCGTGCAATATGCAACTATTTAACACCGTTAGACTGAATACATGCAGCTAACGCTGAAGCTAACAGCTAAGCTAACTAGCTAAAGCCACTTGGTACTCTTGTTGTCGTGACAGCTGTCAGGAGCACAAAACACTCCCGATGCAAAACTCTACTGTGTTAGCTAAGACTGCAAGAAACGAGCTTTGTACAAATACTGCTGAACAAAAACATATAGTATTATATCCCCACATCACACTTATTAACAGATATGTTAGCTAACGTCAATATATTTTCTGAACCATCTTCCTTGCGTCAAGCTAGTATGTCTGTGTTGACCAAGTTTTGAAGTCTTCGGGTTTTTTCTTGTTGTTGTTTGTTTGTTTCCTTTATTTTAACTCGCATGAGAATCGAGAGTTAGCTACATAGTACTGCTGAGGAAATGTTTTGAAAGCGGTCAACACTTGAATAAACCATGAAACGAATCATTACATAATCTAAATCACGAATTGGCGCGGTGAATCGGCTCCCAACCAGCGTTTTTAGCAGCGTCTTCCAATCGGACTTAAAAACAAAGGGGGGCAATAACGCCTCATTTTACTGCGCCTGGGATTCCGGGGGCTAACGCACCCAGCTAAGCTAACTGGAGGAGCTAACTGAGTGAAATTTACTTGTTTCTGGAGTGTCCCACAAAGACAAGAGGGATGTCCCGTTCCCGCTCCACACCTATCCAGCCGTCGCTTCGGTCCCTCTTCCGCTAATCCGCCTAACATTCAGCTGTATTCCGACAAACATAACGACTCATGTAATCCTCAATTCACAGTTATCCACTCTGCGTGTGTGTGTGTTTTTTTTTTCTTACAAATTCCAAGCAAAAAAAAAATAAAAAAAATAATGGAGTTTTCTTTTGAGCATGCGCACTCGGTGCGTACGGAATATTGTACTACCCAAAATGCAACGAGACCTTTGTAGCGCTCCAGACTGACTGCTGGAGGTCCACACACCATGAGACATCATTAGAAGGTACCAGGTTCGGTTCAGGAGCGTTTTATATAAGGATAGTGACGTAGCAGGATGTTTTCAGTTAAGGTACGCATATCAGAATGGAAGAGGGCAGGGGTCTCGACCCTTACAGTAAAAAAAAAAAAATAATAATTCTTACTAATTTAAACCCACCAAGAGCATCAAAAGCTTAAAATAAGGGAAACACAACTCTATAAGTATTATAGAAATACTACACATTTAACCTGTTCATTGTTATTAAAAAGGTCTAATGCATTTTTTTTTTAATGTGAGGACATTTTTTACGTTAGGACAAAGATAAAATAAAAATCTTTCATTTTAAACACTGAGCCTTTATGAGCCCTTTCTATGTCCATGCAAAATTAATAGGTGTCCAACTTTGACGAAAGTAAAGCACAATTTTAGTTTTAGCATAAATTTGTTGCATATTAAACCGTATCTTGATGATTTTCTTCTTCTAAATGCACAGCTTTTGAAACCACTACCGTAATTTTTAAAAGACTACTTTACGAAGGTCTTTTAATACTTTATAAATAGATTATTCACAAGTTTATAAACACTTTGTAAAGCATTAATAAAACACATTTTGTATATTGAAATGAGGTTACTGTTTGGCAAGATTCAGAGCTGTAATTTTATTTATTTATTCATTATTTAGATTTCAAATATCAAATATTTTTCAGCAATTTACCACCACTTATAAGTAAGCGCTATAAGCATCTGTAAATGTATAGTTTGCTCTGGCAATTAAAGTTGTATTGTTAAAGTAAGTTGAGCATCTAGCAATAAATTGCATTTACCTGATGAATTAAAAGTACAGCATTAATCATTATAAATGATTGTGAATGCTCAAACGCATGAATAACTTATTTATAAAGAATTGTAAACTGATCCTTTTTAAAGAAATAGTTTTTTTACTTAAAGACAATTTATTTTTACTATTGTTTGGAGAATAACTTGCCATAGTTTCACATAATGACTTATAATGACTTGTATAATAATAATTTGTGATATATGTTGAGCTTTTTAAGCTCTCCCAGGTTCTACAAAGCATTTTACAATGTTTCTTATTAGTTTATTTACACACACACACACACACACACACATTATTTTCATTATACATTTCACACCATGTATTTTCACTCTCACATTGAAAACAATATCTGGGGCAAGATGAGGATTGTTGTCTTGCCCAAAGACAGTTCAACACGCTGCAGGGAGAGAATCAAACCTCAAGTTTTTCTATTTCAAACATGGCCTTCCTAAAAGATCACTGCGTGGCAGAAATTTAAATTAATGAAATGTCCAGCAGACTATCAAACCACGGGCACAAATTTATATTATTAGTGTCATTCTGTCAACAAAATTTTATTCACATACTTATATATAATAATACTAGTAATGTATGTGTTAAAAAGGCAAATCAATTAGTTTTATAAAGCAAACTATTTATATTCTTTTTGCGCTCCATTCTGTAAAAGGGCACAGAACAACGTGTTGCACACAAACCTGAGTTTGTGTGTTTCTCTTTCCTGTGAGCAAACCAGACAAGAGAAAAGACGTGTGTGTGTACGTGCGTGTGATGAAGACAGACCAAGAGAACGTATCTGATTTCTGCTCGTCACTGGTGCACAGTTTGAGGTCCTCAGCTGTCACAAACTGTCAGCTTCACATAGCTCAACTTGTGCCACACACACAACTGCAGATACACAAACGCAAAGAATTTAAAAGTTTGTGTCACACTTGGAGCTCACAATCAGGGTGGAAATAACTTGAGGTGAACAAACAAACTGGATCCAGAGGCCCTGAAGAGCGAGGAGGCTTTTTGCTCAGCTGGTTCGACTCCGTCCGCCACACCGACCATTAAACACTTTTCATGGCCAGCAGGTGAAGACCATATTTATAGTGGTCAACGTTTCCTCTGTGTGAGCTCCACAAACCTGATCAAAAGGTAAGTTCACATTTAAAGAGCTTTTCTATTAGAATATTATTTTATGTGACAAAAGTTTACAAAGTCTTTTTTTTTTTTTGCAACAATTACAACAGAAAAGTTATATTAGTTTAACAATCCCAACTCAAAGCAAGTTTGGTCAGTTTACTGAAACATTTTTCTCTTCTTTTTCTTAAAACGATCTAAAGAAAAATTATATTTTTTCCCCCGACGGGCAGCAGCTCCCAAATTTAGACGTGTTGAGATCACATTTCACAAACCAAGAATAGTGCAGGTTGAGCGGACAAATGCTCTCAAACACAGTGTGAGTGTGTGTGTGTGTGTGTGTGTGTGTGTGTGTGTGTGCAAGCTCTTTGCTAATGCTATTGTTCAAATGAGTCCTCGAGGCTCAATGGGATTTACCTGTATAAATAAAGGTTGATTGATTGATTATACAGAGAGAATTAAACTCCAAGCATCTGTTGTGTGATCCTGAAGGGCCTTCAGTTTGTTCATGTCATTCATATTTAGATACCATCAGCTGTACTGGGATAAAACAAGAACTAAATGACCAGATTCCCATTTTAAAAGTTACCTGCGTTTTAATTTTCATGCAGTTTTGAGTAAACTGTGACTGAACTGCCGACTCTCAACGGTCATCCTGGACATTTAGTAACAAACGCATGGTCTTGGAAAACAAAGTTAGATTTTGAAATGTGATAAAATTAAGAAAGAAAATGTATATCATGGCTAGTTTTCCTTTACAGGTAAAGAAGATACTAAAAAACTTCAGCAAAGGAAAAAAAAAAGATAAAATGCATAATAAATAAAACTTTATTTTGCTTTTTAAGGTTGCAGCGTCTGGACATTTTGAGCCTTTCCTCATGGATCAGTGAGTATAATTCATGCTTTTATTTGTTCTCAATCTGTCGTTCAGTAAAACAGAGACTTTGTGATATACAATATTATCCATTGTTAAAAATAAAAACAGTTTGTTTGAGGAGATGCATCAGACTTTTTCTTTTTTTTAATAAGTGAGATCAGTTGTCCCAATAAAAATATCAGTCTACAAACGCTTCAGCTCAGGGGCTGGAAAGAATTCATGAAAAGTTTGTGTTTGGATCTCATGTTGAACTGGGCACGATGTTTGACTGCAAATTAATGCCACTTAAATCATTTGTGTATCTCTGCATGAAATAAAAATGCTTTTTATACATATTTAAACTGAAAGCATCTAAGGCAAGGGTTCTCAAAACTTTTCACAGTGTAATAAACTAATAACTATCACAAAATACTGTACTGCGGTTTGAAAATACTACCATTGTGATAGTTTTAAATGCTTAAAACAGATCAAGTATCTGACATAAACAAGCAAACTCATGAATGCCAAATCATAACCTTAAAACCTTTTTTTTGTTTTTGGTCAGAACTTTAATCCTTGTAAAAAACTCACTTGGCTACGAGGTTCAAATAACTCAGCTGGGTCTTCCTTGAGTTCAGGTGTCTCGTGATAAAAACACCTGGAAAATCTCATGTTCAGTACTGAGAATTTAGCAGCAAACTTATGATTTGATTGCTAAATTAACCTAATAATTTAGACAAGTTTTCCATTTGAACTCCCGGGCTGAACAAAGGACATGGGACGTTTACTGACTGCTCAATTGTTTAAAGAAATATTGCGATAAAAACACATCAAACTCTGGTTAAAGGGTATTTAAAATGTTAAACCCATTTAAAATGTTAAACCTATTGCAGACAGCAGCATTTATTCTGTGGTCTTGGCACTTCTGCTCCGCGACAAAGTAAAACAAATTAGAGATAACTTGAATCAAATTTTCTAGCTGTTTTACCCTTTCTGTAGCGATCAGGTCGACTTCACTGGTCCTTTTTAAGCAGCAACTAGCTCCACTCCAGTTTTCACAAGGTTTCCCAAACGTTCTTCATCGTAGTTTTGTTTCACAACGTTTTCATTTGAAGACACGTTTGAAATTTGCATAACATATTTTTCGGACAGTAAGGTATACCAGATTATAAGGCGCATTAAATGAAATAGATAAGTCAAACTTTATTCAACTCAATCACAATAACCACATAAAATCAGTTTGAGGTCAGTGAGCACAACCAGAATTAATACATAAAGCGCACCAGATTATAAGGCTCACTGTCGATTTTTGAGAATATTGAAGGATTTTAAGTGCGCCTTGTAGTCTGAAAAATACGGTTATTTAATTTATAGTACTAAAGGGATTAAGAGTACCAGCAGAGGTATTTGTACTGAAAACCACCAAGGTGATTCCTAGTTTCCAGTCAACAAGCAGTTCTTACATTTGCTGTTTCACATCTTCACGTGACCCAAAGGTCACCTTTAGTTGTGATACGACTTTCCTCATCATAATGACATGTGGCTCCAGTTCTTCTTTTTCTTCTTCTTTGCTTTTTTGTTTTTTTTTAGAGAGGATGACAAACACTCTGTGGATATCCATGACAATCCTCCAGCACCTGACAATGTAGTGAGGGAGGACGGAGACATGGTGAGTGACAGCACCCACTGTCAGCCGTGCCATTCTCAGCCTGTTTAAAATAACCACCAGCTGGGACAGAACCATTATTACTGAAATTAGGAGCTCAAATAGAGTCTGTCTTTATGAACCACTATATAGAAGATGCTCAACGAAAGTTTGGTTTCAAAATGGCATCATGATTTATTCTCTCTTCTCTGATAACCATGAAAAATGCTTCTGATCTGGTAAATCCATTTTCATCTGCAGGGACTAGTTATGAAAACATATAGACGTGGTTGCACGTATCCTAATAGTGTTTGTGTTTTTAGGTCTATTTTATTTATGATGAGGAGGTGGAGGTGGAGGAGAAGGAACCAGAACCTCCTTCAGAGCCAGTCATTCGGATCAATGACAAGCCTCACAAGTTCAAGGACCACTACTGCAAGAAGCCCAAGTTCTGTGACGTGTGTGCTCGCATGATCGTTTGTATGTACGATGCAGGAAACAACCTCACAGTGAATGCATGCTTTTAGATTTTTGATTTTGTTCTAAACACACTTTCTGTTTATCCTCGTTGATATTACGTTTTGCATTTGTCAGTGAACAACAAATTTTGTCTGAGGTGTAAAAACTGCAAGACCAACATCCACCATTCGTGCCAGTCCTACGTTGAGTTTCAGAGGTGCTTTGGAAAAATAGTGAGTTTCATTTCTTGCAGCGGTCTTTGAATTCAACCTTTTACAACCAGGATACTACATGCTATATATTGTAAAACAAGACAGTAAAAAATCTGGAGATATAAATTATTTGAATTAGGTAGATTTATAAACTTGTAACACTTTTTTTCTTCTAGCCGCCTGGTTTCAGAAGAGCTTACAGCTCTCCTCTGTACAGCAGTGACCAACCAGATTCAAGTGAGTTCACCGAGACATTTATTCAAAGCTGCGGGAGCAGACATGTCACTATTTATGGGGTGGAGGCTTTCCAATTGGTTCATAAAGTTGTGCTTCGTCTTAAAATTGAAAATGTGTTGACTCTGTAGAAGGATAAAAAGTTTCTAAAATCTGTCTTGCTACTTCTTTAATTTCTAACAAATTATCAAAGCTTTACATTATAAGGCACATGTGTCAAACTCATGGCCCACGGGCCAGATGTGGCCCGCCATGTCATTTTTTGTGGCCAGCGAGAGTTTAAAAGGTCTGATTGTCGTATAATAAATACGTCAAAAGGGTGCACTGACAACAAACTACATTTCCCATAAAGCATGCTGATTATGTTACCTGCATAGTAACAGCATCCCACCACTAGATTGCAGTTTTTCCATCATTTTTTGAACAAGTGGAATTGAGAAATACAAACAATGATCCCAAAATGTCCAGGAAGAGAAAAATTGATGCAAATGGAAGGCTGTTTCAAGAAAGATGGGGAGGTGAATATGTGTTTGTGCTTCAAGGAGAGAAACCACTATGTCTTTTGTGTTATGAGGCAGTGGTGGTCGTCAGAGTACAAACTACGCCAACATTTTGACACCAAACACAGAGCTAACTATGTCAACCCTAACGTTGTTACTTTGAGTTTATTGTTACTAAATGTCTTTTATTATATTATGTTAAATTTGCAGCAATGTATTTGGGATTGCAGGTTTATGAGTTTATGCATGTTTTCTATAATAAAACCATCTCTCATTAGTTGGATGTATGACCCTTGTCAGACTGTGTGCAGCCATTTGTTTTTTGTAAAATGCTACACATGTCACATGTTCTTAGCAGCTCACAGTTGTTGGTTGGATCATTATTCTGTCCCTCTTAACTATGACAAAAAAGTTTTGGACAAAGTTAATGTCATAACTTGTTATTTTTCCTCATTAACTTGGAAAGTTTGATCATTGATTTATGGAGTAATGTGGGTTTCATAACCTGACAAATTAAAAGGTTTCATGTTATAACAGCAGATATATTTTTCTACATCCATGCAAAAAAAATAAAA